CAGTCTTTTGTAAGTATTCCACGGATATATTGCTTGCACTCTATATATGTTTTCTATTGTTTAATTAACACTATTTTGTAGTAAATAGTGGAAAGTGTTGCACACATTTAATTTTTTGCTCTAGTTTAAATATAGTGTTAATGCTTGAGAAATTAAGTAAAGTGCTTCATACCGGATACCTTTCAAACACGCCWMCAGAAAACACGAATATTATCGTTGACTGTGGAGGTTGATAAACTTTGGCTTTCATGCAACCAGTTAATGAAACAAAGTTAATAATTGATAATTCTTGACTCTCTAGCTATCTACAGAAAGAAAGCAAGAAAATTAAACGTTTTTTATTTCGAAAGAAAAATAATAAAGTATGTATYATTTCTCCTTTTTATGTCTGTTAAAATTTTAATTGAGCGATTTTATATGTTTTTGTGCTCCATTTTCGAAATCAAAAAGAATAACCGCTGTTTATTTGACAACAGATTTTCTTACGCAAAGACTTTACMGAACGCAAGCGAAAGAGAAAATGAGAGAAAATGTGGTAATTAAAATTTAAATAAATTAAAATTTGCGCTTAGTAAAATCTTTGCACGAGAGAATCTGTTGTCAAATATAATAGCGGTTATTCGTATTTATTGTTGACAAAAAGAAAATAAAAGCTAAAACAAATATCAAATACAAACATATGAAAAAGTCAAAAATATGTTTTCTTTTCTTTCTTAATAAATGTACTGTATTCGAAGAATTCTGCTAKTATTGATGGTACGTAAGAGGAGTAGGGACTGGAGAGTGACTTGATACATAAAAAGGCTCGAGCCAAGAATCTTATATTAGTCTAACGGCTAATGTCTAGCGGTCTGCTGACTCCGAAAAGAATCTTGGGTAATGCATGCCAAATTTGCGACGCTTTAACATCGCAAATAGCCGACTTGCGAATTACGCATCAATAGTCACATACAAAGRAATCAAGACGAGGCGCCGTGCTTTTTTGTGAAAATCTATTGTCTTTAGCACGGCRCCTCGTCTTGATTCCTTTGTATGTGACTATTGATGCGTAATTCGCAAGTCGGCTATTACAATATCGTACCCAGAGCCCGCGTTACTTTTGGTCTGCGACAAGCACTTGGGCTCTGGAATATTCCAATACCGGAAGCTAGAATCAGGCTGTTTCACCCATGCGCAGTAGAAACCCGATCTAACGGCTTTATTTGACTGATTTTACTCTAGAAAATTGGCTAAATGAAAGCCTTCGAAGTTAGAAAAGGGATTTTTTAGACCTTAGATGATGAATCTATCTTCTTCGAAGCTGTTTTGATATCTGTTATGATCAGATCGTAGCGATTATCATGGCGTGGCAGTTCGTCGCCTCACTGTATTCCATTTTATACTTAATTGATCATATTACTCTCAAATGCCCACTTAAAAATGACTTAAAAAATGCTTTTAAAGGAAGAATTCAAGGTAAAGTAGGGAAATACAGAATGCTTTGAGTCTTTTTCTCGGTGATATTTTCACTTCCGGCGGCAAGTGTGTTTATTTTATGAGCCAATCATAGAGCGAGAATTTTTGGCCTATTCCATTGTTTTTCGTCGAGCCTGCGAGTAAGAGGGACAGTGGCGCTGGGTACGAGATTGCGCAAATTATGGAAATTAAGTTATTTTTTTTTACAGTTAAGAGCATTAAAACAGTAAATTAAAAAGCGAATGATGTCGTTCAGGAATGGTATTTACGCCTTTTTCAGAAAAAAAATGGTAGAAAATATGTGTGAAAATGAATATTTTTCTGTTAAAAAAAGTGATGCGAACGCGCGTTGGCGACTTGAAAAAACGTACAAACAATTCGCGCTCGCGTCGTTTTAAACCAATCATTAATCGAGAAATAACGCAATCTCCCAGGATCTCTCACGAATTGACTTCCGCTGTATGTCAAAAGGGCGTGGACTGGGCACGAGACTGATAAACATTTCAAATTGTCTTCAAATATTTGTCCTTCCAATGCATTTTCTTAAACACAAAACGTTAATTCAAAAACATCTATCAATGAATAACTGCTTTCACACGGGATCCCTGTTTTTGTTCTTTTTAGTTTACCGAAGTCTATGCCATATATGGAAACAAACAAAATGGCCGATTGATTAAAATTATTTCCGCTTTGATATCTGCAGTTTAAGACTATCGACGAAAAAGCAAAAAAAAACAAAAAAACAAAAAAACAAACAAAAAAACAAACAAACAAACAAACAACAACAACAACAGCAAATCGAGAAAATCGAAAAAAAACGTGTTCACTCCAAATGAAATAATAATATTTATCCATTTTGCATCCTGTTTCTTCCTTGAGAGTCAGCGGAAATTACTTAGAACGACATCCCTGAAAACATTTCTGGGATGTTCTCGGCTTTATAATTCTCAATATACGTATGAAACAATTGCAAAAGACAATAACAAGAACAGAATTTCCGTAAGCTCTACATTTATARATAGGTAACTGAATAATTCTGTTCACTTTTCTTTCTTCATACTTAAGAAAGAAAGAACCCTCTAAACAGTGATTATTCTTAAAGAATTCAATTCCCAACCGCTAATTAGATTTCAGCTTAGTTTATGAAATATCTCAGTAAGATGCCAGTTGTTACGAAAAAAAAATTCAAATCTGTTTTAATTATTTTAGTTCTGGAACGTAAGTTAAATTGCAATTTTCGTTTATTTGGATTTAACGTTACATATTATTACATTGACGGAGWAACTGACAAATAGAGCTAATCATTGACCAAAATACAGAACCTTTAGCTAAACTTTTCAGTAAAAAGGCTTATCGATGATTATATCTTGCCCTGTAACATGCCTTTTTTTTATTTTGATGCGTTGTGTTTGTGTTTTCTTAATCTAAAATTTCACATAGAGCTACAACCAAATGATAGTGTGATTCTGCATTACCCAAATTATCTTCCTTCCTAGATTTGATAGCATTCCAAATAATGAATCCAAATTTATGTAAATTAACTTTTTTTGGCGTGTTATATTGTGTGAGCAATTGGCAGAAATAATTTCTAAGAAAGCAACGACTACTAAGTTATAAGATATGTACTAAAAAAAATTGAGTTTCGTTTTCAGATTTATTCCATTCTTTTCCTTTTTTTATCTATATATTTTATTACCAAACGATTCCACATTAAACATTTTCTATCATTTGACAGGAAAAATTCACTGGAACAAATCAAGCTCCTTTCTGTAGTTTATGAAATGCCGAAACAATATTTGAATAACATTATGTTATGCATTTGAACTAAATATTCTTCATCATATAATTTTCTACRAAATATCTAGATTTTCTTTCTCGAAAAGTTGTGAAAAAGTTAGTGAAAATAACCCATTCGAAGTTTGCTCTGAAATTGAATGTTAAAGAAAAAAGTATTTTAGGGCATAATTTGCTTTCATATATAGTTACACGATAAACATAATGTTACATGGTAGTCTGGAGATACGAATTTTATCTTSTCATGTTGAAAATCTCTCAACCGTTCGCTCGTTCGTGAGAGATCTCTTTCGACACTCGAAGATAAAATCCGTATCTCCGCGCGACCATGTAATATATATGTATATATATAGCGTTCATATTGTATCATGAAGTTTTTTTATGAATGTTATCAAGTGGTAAATGACTGTTCAAGTATGACAGTAACCATTTTCTCCAGAAAGATCTTTTCAGACGAGAAGCTTTTAGTATTGTTTCTAATTATGTAAAGTAAATTGACAAGGACAAGTTAAATCTGTTATGGTCATCACAAAAACAAATACTATAATTAAATCTATTGCCCAAAATTGTGGCCAATTAGCTTCCAGAATCAATCTGTCGTACATCATCATCGCCTCTTTAGGTGAATGCCCAGATAGTTGCCAGATCATGTGACTTTGGAGATTTCTGATTGGTTAAGAGCATAACGGCGAATGGAAAACACTAAGGCGATTTACAACTTTGTAAACATTTTCCGTTGCAAATTATCAGTGACACTTAATATGAATTGAAAAATAAATAAAAAAATGGAATGAAAAATGTTTTTGACGAAATAAGGAAAAAGGAGAGACAGCTTCTCTATTTCCGTTCATGATAGCTATGTTTAAATCTATCTTTTTTTTATTTCAACTTTGACTCCCTACATAGATTAATGTAAAGTAAAAATCATCAAGATTATATCCAATTCCTCGCTGCTCTCTTTCTTTTGAAAGCAAGTAAGCATTTCACTATTGTTTGAACATAATCAGTCTGACAACCTCGATGGCTGTTCACATGTACACATGAAAACAAAACAAAGCCTTTATGAATAGATTATGAGTGACGGCAGATTATGTACAATATAACGGCTACACAAATAATGTCTTCCAAAAAGTTCTTAAAGGCCTAAGCGATCTATGAAGGTGTTGATAATTAAACATGCCCGGAGAATCCAATTGAAACCTAATTGGCAAAGGAAAAAAATTTCAACAGATTTTCGTTTGTTATAAATTTCTGTCTTTAAGTRCTATGTCTGCGAACGTGGAAGCAATGGTTTGGATAATAATTTGTATAGCCTTTTAGGTAATAAAGTTAACGACGTTCTTTTTCTGCCTTAAAAAATCAGTAAAAAATAAGCGCCGAGATTACTTTTTTCTCTGTACTGTAAATTATTAATCCGACTTGATTATTTTTTTCGCTAATTGAACAATATGGTTCGCAAGACGTTCTTGAAAACAACTAATTTCTTATAAATAAATCTGGCCACTATAAGCGCAAATTAACAGACATGAAAGCCGTCTAAATAGCAAAGGAAAACAAATAATATCAAAAATACAGCAAGCTTTACTCATTGAGCTATCAGATATTTGATTGTGTCGATGGCTAAGGTATTGTACATAGGACGAGTAATCTGTTAGTAGCGGGCAGGTGGTTTTGTATATTATGCATTAATTGTATCAGTAGACCACTGTGGTTAATCTTCACCTCCCCCAGGCGTATTCCAATAACTGAACGCTCTCAGCAAGTATTAACACAATACAGTCACAAACACCAATGGCCTAAAGTCAGATCACATTTGTTATTGAGATGAGCAACCTCGGTTAGCGACCCAGTGAATGTATAATAAGATTACTGGAAGAACGTTTCACCTTGGTTTGGCTGCAGACCTGGTTGACCCATCCCYAYATCCTGCTGATACCTTTAACCAGACATTTCGTATTAGCTCATCCACTTGAGAGATCGCAAGATGAATGACAGTCGATACAGCCTACATAAGGAAGAGGATGGTGTGCTAAACAGTAACGGTCCATACTCTCCAGTAATGGTCGAAGACGTGCATATAAACCATGCCTCGAAATCCAAGCGCTCGAGAATCTTTGCACTTATAATAATTCTCCTTCTCGTGACTTGTGCGGTGCTCATAGTTCTGTACACAATGGAAAGAGGGAAGAGAAAAGATRCCGAGCAGACAGTCCAAGAAGAAAAATCAATTTCGCCGAAAAAAGTTTGCACAACTGATCACTGCGTGCGAACTGCGTCAGGTGAGACCATATATTCAATATCGTGATGAAATTCATRTTCTATCCTTGACAACCTAGCAACGCTGGAGGATGMTTTMAAAACGGGTGTCCAGTGCTGCTTCTTAAGCGTACSTCGAGACACAGTGCCCACTGCCGTCTACCGTTTGCCTATTTGAACGTTTGATTTTTATTTTGAACTATTTTCCATCCTCCCACGTTCTGTTTTAATTTAACTCGGAAAATCTCGTGCAAACAGATGTCTCGCACAGTTTTCGCATTTCCTCGACAATATTGCCAAAAATTAACAATCTAAATGCTAAATGTAAATTCTATTATCGCAGCTMAAATGAAACTGTTCTTGAATACCACTGCAATATATTAGGTGTTTTGTACCGACGACAGTTTTAATTTGGAATAGTGAGAAGTGCTATTTATGTATAGAGAATAAAGAATTGTTTCAAAACATCTAATCAATATGGTGAACATCGGTTTGGTTTGACTTTTTTGTGAAAAGCGCGCTCTACTTACAAAGCAAGGGGCTTCAAGAAAGATTTGCTTTTGGGCTATTAAATTCCATAATGACTACCGATGAACAAATTACACAAATATAGCTTCACAAAGCAACCAATCGTTTTTTAAAAGTGTCAAAAATACATCAACGGTCTATAGCCATTCTATGTATTTTGAAAATTATATGACTCGTTATATTCAGATGGACGAGTCAGTGTAATTAATTTTGTTGTTGCTAGACCTACCGCCAAGGACCATCAGAGAAAAAGAGTTAAATGGGTCAAACCTGAGCTCTTACAAATATTCATCGGTCTCTTTGAACATAAAATCGATAACAAATTTGATTCCCTCTTTGTTTAAACAATTCTCCTTTTGATTTTACATTCACTTCAGTAAATTAAATACTAAAACCGGTTTTTTTTTTTCAAATAAAAGAGCAAGGGCAAAACGTAGGTTTTTGGCTGGTAGAAAGCTAGTATAGAAAAAAGTAGAAACCATAGTCAAGTTAAATTAAATCTTTTATTAATGCGTGAAGTACTTGGAATGTTAACTTCAACACACTATCTTTGATATCTGTATCTGCGAGGCAAGTTTAATTATTGACGAAAACCCAGTTCACCTGTAAAACTCCATCTTGATCAAATATATTTGTCAAAGTGTGAAAATTAACCTGAATATATAAAGAACCAGCAAACATATGTGCTAAAGTAAACTAATTGGTTAATTGATGTCTTGGGAAGCGCTATTGAAATCGTTTGGTGATTTTCATAAAGAGGGGAGCGTGTGAGAGGTCGTATTTTATGTTATTGACAATAGAGAATGACACAACGGCAACTTTAACGTTGTCAGAAATTCTGTCAAGAAAAAATGAGCAAGTTTGGTCACAGATCCGCTGTCTTTTGCTAATACGTTTGATTGAACTGAATGTCAAGTAAAACAAAACAGAATATCGCTAAAAGGTTTAATGATTGAATTGAATGAAAAACAGCAGGTTTTTTAACACCCTYAAAAAGCTTCCATTGAAGTAATTTACCATTTTTGTTTACACATCGCCAAATAACCTTTATTGATTATGACAAAAATAAATATTGGATGAAAAAATTTGTACTTATACAATATATTATAAATAATAAATATATAGCATATATACAAAAAATATAATACATAATTTAGTACATAAAATATCTATTCTACAACGAGTGCATTGATTGGTTAGAATGTATTTTTGTCCATTTATTTTGTTATGTCATAAAGAATTGGAAGATATTTTGCGTGTTTAAAATCTCTGTTAAAGACACTAGGAATTTTGGAGAACCTGCGCTTTCAGCTCGTTTATAATTCGCTTTTTCGTGTTCTTCAAACATTCCCACGTTTTTCAAAGAAAAACAAAATATCTTCTAATCCTTAATTTGAACAGTTTGTTTTAGTAATAAAAGTTAATAGTTAACTTTTTTAATCAAATAATTCTCAGAGAACAGTAATAAAATACCAAATGCGGCAGAATACTGCTTATAAGGTGGTAATCWTTTTTTACGTAAAGCTTTCGCTTTTCTACAGCAAGAATAATTTCTCAAGATTCTAAGAGAACAGATCTACCTTTCCATTCAGATACTGT